TTTTGTGGTCTGCTTCTTTGGAGAAGAATTTTTGTAAACGATATCCTTTAGAATCCGTTCGTCTGTCTTGTATGCAGTGGAGAATTGGTTTTTATAGTAGACTTTGAGTTGTTCAGTGGAGTTGTCGGTAGTGGTGTTTTTTGACGCTGTCCAGGTATCGTTGAAGTGTCTTGTTGAATGTGGTATTACTATATCCATTATTGATGAATGTTTGTCGGAGTGTACGAATTCTGTTGTGAAATAGATTCCAATCTGAGGATATTTTGTAGGTACGGTGGATGAGGGCGTGGATGGTTCCAGTTTTGTATCTTTGAGGGCATTCACTTTGAGCGTTGAGGTAGATTCCCTGGCTAGTGGGTTTTTCATAGACAGATGTGGCGTATGTGCTGTTGTTGGCGTCGATACCTTTTAACCTATCTCTAAACGGAATCGGACAATTCGACTGACCTTGTAACCACCCAAATAAAACTAAATAAACCTAAATTACTTTTTTTTTTCTAGGATGTCTTCATATTGTAACGTGAAACTACAGTCATTTATACTAAGTAGCTCTAAGTTCGTAACAGTATACATTTATTTATAAATAAATTTTAATGTTTTATTGCCCTCTGCACCATTATACTGAAAGCTTACCAAATTTCATGAAGATACACATTAGTTAATTCAGAGTTATAGTATGTTTGGTTTTATAGTGATTACAAGGTCAGTCAAATTGCATCCATCTGTATGCATATGTTTAGAAAATATGACCAAAAAAGAAATTAAAAGGTATGCAGAAATGCTTATTTTAATTTACAACACTGTCTGTGTTTTACATGAAATATATGATAAATATTTAAGTTATGGAAATCATTTGGGAAAAACATTTACGTAAGCTGTATGATTATTTTTTAATATGTACATTGATTTGTTTATAGGAAGCAGACAATGATCCTACAGGTGAAGCAGCCCAAACAACTCATCAAACACTGTCTTTTTATGAATTAGATCTGGGACTGAACCATGTTGTGAGAAAATACAGTGAACCTTTAGAAGAACATGGAAATTTTCTAATATCAGGTGATAATTAACTCTTTCCATACAGGTCATGAGGTTTTACTGATTTAAATTCAAAATGTAGTTAAACTAATTATTATTATGGTATGTGAATAAACTTGGCATCAAAACGTAGCTAATAAACCAAATTTTAATATTGTGTAAGTTTTAAGTTCATAATTTTATAGGGAAATATTTAAAAAAAATCCTCAATCTCCCCTAGTAGGAGAATTGACATTTGCTCTCTTGTTATCATCTCTTTTCTAATTTATTTGCCATTCCTCCAAGAAGTACAAACTTTAATGTAAATTACTCATTATAACGTTGTCATCATCTTTCATACATATTAGAAGTTATGTTATGGAAACTCAAAATCAATTTGGGGTCACAAATTAAACAGAATTGACCAAGCCTGTAATGAGAGAATTAAGTTCTGTGCCATGTGGCAATGTTGCTGTTCTAAAAAAATCCTTTTCAGTTTGTGATCATCAAGCACTGTAAATGTAACATGGTGTATTTTACACAAAAATATCTGAAATGTGGAGATGGCAGCTAAACCAAGTCAAGAACACAGAGTTAAGATTCACAGTATCAAAACATTATTTGTAATCACACATGCATTTAATATACAACTTAAAACAATTCTGAACTTAGTTAAATATTCTAGCAAAGAGGAAGTTGTGATTTCATGACCTTGCTTGTGCAGAGTATTTAACATGGAAATCTAACTTCAGCTAAGAACCCTTTTTTTGTGCTCTCATGTTGTCCTAACCATGAAAATATGGATTTTTGGTTTAACATAACATAGGTTTTAGGGATAACAAGGGACCTATTGGTCCATCTCAGCTGTCACATCCTCTAAACTAAAAAAAAAAATTAAAGCCAACCCTTATCATTCATATAGTTATCAAGTTTGCTTCCACAACATCCTAAGGCAACCCATTCCAGAGGCAAACTGCCCTGTTAGAAAAATATAACTGTCTTAGCTGAAGATGACTCCTACCTTGCCAAAATATATATATATATATATATATCATTTAATATATATTACTTAATCTGTTTTTACTAATGATAAATCTTTCAATAGATGGATAATGAGTGATAATTAAAATTGTTCCCATGATATCATATAATTATCTATTATATTTATCACAATAGTTTATAACTTGGGTGAAAAAAGAGGATAGAATTTGGTAACGAAATCAGTTATGCTTTTCCATATTTAAAATTCCAGATATTAAATTTACTTCAAGCAAGTCTGACAGATCAGTGCATTTAGAAGTTTACCATTGATTTATTTTGTGGTTTTGTTGTAAAAACTTCTGATTGAATAACAATAGGTAGTCAACAACTCATTCTGAAAGTGTCTTGTGGAAAGACGTAGATGATTGTACTATATTGTTATTTGTATTATTTCCAAAGAAAGGGAAAGTTTGCTTATTTACTTATTGCAGAGACGAAAACACAATTTGAAGTAAACCATACTTACCATAATGTTTTGGGACAACGTGAGACCTATTGGTCCATCTTGAATGTACCTTCTTCGAAACTGAATTAAAATAATCAAAAATCTTAAAGCAAGCCTTTACCATTCATATAATTATCAAGTTTTATCTTAACTTCACTTCCACCACAACATCCTAAGGCAACCCATACCAGAGGCAAACTACCCTGTTAGAAAAATAAAACTGTCTTAGCTGAAGATGACTTCTACCTTGCCAAAATTTATACTTGTCTCCACCAGTCCTACTGTTCTTGCTGTTAAGTACAAAAACATTTAATGCATCAACTCCCTCAATTCCCTTTACAATTTAAAAAACCTCAATCAGATCCTTTCTAACTCTTGTTTTTTCAAGAGAAAACAATTTCAAATCTCTCTTCATATAACAACCCCTCCATCCAAGGAACCGTTCTAGTAGCCCTTCTCTGAACCCTTTCCAACAATTCAATGTTTTTCTTAAAGTAAGGATCCCAAGACAATATTCCAGATGTGGTCTAACCAGTGACCTATACAATGAAATTATAACCTCTATAGACTTGTATTCAATATTTCTGTAGATACAACCTAAAATCCTATTTGCTCTACCATTAGCACTTGGATGGCTTAACCAGCTCACTACATCGTAATAGTTTCTGGGAACTTTCCTATAACTACCCCAGTTATGCACAGTATAATTTTTATGAAGTTTGTTAACAAGCATTCATTTATTGATTCTGTAATACATTAAGTTGTTAGGATTTTAATTTTAGCTAAAAGACTTATTCAAGGATATTAGTAATGTTAATTACCCTTGGTTAATCTTCCTCTATAGATTTATGAAAGTATCAATTTTATATTCTATTTAATTTACAGCAATCTAATTTGTAATTTCTTCTCTTCAAACATTAATTATCCTGGTTAATGCTGATGTCTAACTTTATTAACTTTTCATGATTTCCATGGTGGCCTGCATGATGTCACTCAAACTTCACTTTATATCACACTTTTATTAACATTTCTTTATTTGAACTGACTTTTTCTCTTGTTTGGCTTAAGAATCAACACTGATGTTGTTTATCTTGGCTGTTGTTTTGATTAATTCTATGAGATCTGAGTGCACTGAGAAATATACATTCCAGCTACAGTGAATGGGTTAAAATTCATTGTAAGTGAAGAAAGTTTTTGTTTTAGTGTGTTCTTGCAAAAAATAAAACATATCTTCAATTTTTTTTAGTTGTTAATGTATCTGAGCTTCATTAAATTCATATGCTTTTTTCTTATCATTATAAAATGGTGTAAAGTTATGAAATGTAATAAACTTATTGATTTGAAAACTATAAACCTCTGACTTATTTGATACCTAATAATTAACCCTAGAATGCCAGTGTAGGTTCACTATGGCCCCATATTACTTGGTGATAATGATTGAAATGTTGCCATTATAGGGTTAAGAAATGTTAAGCTTTTAACTTTTTTTTTTCTTAGTTCCTGGTGGAGCAGATGGACCTAGTGGTGTTCTCATATGTTCTGAAAACTACATCACCTACAAAAACTTTGGAGACCAGCCAGATATTCGTTGTCCTATCCCGAGAAGAAGGGTTAGTATAAAGTAACTTGAGTGTTCAATCTATGGGGTATGGTGAGACCAGCGATATCAGTGTTTTATGTGATATTTTGATTGTTTTGATCCCACATTACTAGAAAGAGTTGTTTTATGCAGTTACTGGAAATTCAAATATAATCGTAATTCTAGCTTTAACTATTTCAATATTTGAAGTAGTTCACCTTTTTGTGATTGAGTAATTGTATTCATAAACTTAAATAGAACAATGTTAAAATTTAATTATATGAAGTACTTATATGGATCATCTTTTATGTAATACATTTCGGAATACAAGTTTAAAATATCTTGGATTGCAGCTTTTTTAATAAACCCTGTTATTTGATGTCTGCATTAAACATATGTCCGTGTATGTTGTTTCAGAATAGAGACAAAACTAATTGCCACTACTAACAAATGTATGTAACAGTTTATAGTACAGGTGGTTTCAATAAACACTGCCTGAGTCTGACCCCTTGTTACTTGATACATCCTGTTAGAAGAGATTACCAAACGATACAGACACCATAAATTACAAAGAAAATTACTTTATAGCACTTAAAAGATTAGTCCTGGTCACATTCCTCTCATTACAGGCAAGATTTATGTTGGAATGCAAAACTTAAGCACTTCGATCTATTGAGACCTCCAACTGTGAGAATGTCATAGCTTCCCTGTATTATTTAGTATTTAGCCTGTTTCACAACCAACATATGGGTTTTATTGTTGTCACTACTGAGTTTGAACCATTTGCAAAACATCAGAATAAACTATATATATATATATCAGTTAGACTGTTTTAATTCTAATGCAATAGCAACAGAAGTGTGGGTCTTACTACAAAGCAAAGATTGTAAGACGGAAAAATATAAAATTCTTTTGTGGTACTAATAGTATTACGTACAAATCACACAAGTTTTTCATTCTAAATACTGAATCATATTATTATGAACTAAATATAAAATTATGCTAAAGTATTGAGATTAAAACTACAAATTTAAATTCAAAAGAATATAAAAAATCACAAACTCTTTCAGTTCAAATTCCTAAGTCTAATTCATGTAAAGACTTTGCACTCGCCACTCGGTAACTCTTAACCCTAACAATTGTGGATCAACTTCTTTCCTAAAAAATATATCTATTTTGAGTTAATTTTTCAATATAATGATTAATATAAACAGATATACCATGCAGCATGACTTAAGCTACTATATAAGAAAAATAAAAGTCACGTATATCCCATGCAGTTTTTTCCAGAAGCAACTTTTCTAACGCTTACAGAAAAGCCCTATTGGCTAGTACTAAATACCACCTCTACATAAAATGGCAGTTACTATAATAAGCACCACCCACATTCATATTGTAAAATCCAGAGAACAATGTTTCATCGCGTGCTTTCCTTATCATCCTATGATTTGTCAAATGGGAGATACAGCAATTGGAATAATTGGTACTGAAATTGACACTTTCGACTAGGATTGGCTAAAAGTTTTACAACTGCGGTTTAACACGGCCAGATGCAGTTTTATAAAGAAAACAGACTAGAAAAAGGTTTAGATACTGATCATAGATGGCAGAACCATTGCCGAGGTGAAAGGAAATATCTTAAAAAAATTTTTTGAAAAAAACAAATTTCTT